AGCAGGGAGCCCGATGCGGGACTCGATCCCGGGACTCCAGGATCATGACCTGAGCCGAAGGCAGTCGCTTAAACAACTGAGCCACCCAGGCGCCCCTCCTCACTTATTTTTAAACAGTACTAGGTTAATCTTGGTAAGCCAAACCCTTTTTAGAGTATGGCTTGGTGCAATTAACAACTCAAATCCAACAAAACAGTTTACAGGGACACAAACAACTCCTTTAAATGCTGCCTAGTCCTCCTTATTTTACCAGGTACAAAACATGCTACTTTAGTTATCCTTAGCAGTTTTTACATAAGGACAAGAAATCAAGTGTGGGTGGGGTGCCTGGGTGGCTCAGTTGTTAAGTGTCTGCCTTCAGCTCAGGTCATGATCCCAGGGTCCTGGGATCGAGCCCCACGTCGGGCACCCTCCTCGGCGGGAAGCCTACTTCTCCCTCTCCCACTCCCCCTGCTTGTGTTCCCTCTCTCGCTGTGTCTCTGTCAAATACATAAATAAAATCTTAAAAAAAAAAAAAAAAATCAAGTGTGGGAGAAAGAGCAATCAGTATCCAGAATTTTATAGATCCTTAAATATTCTTAATTTTAAAATGTCAGTTCTTTATGGCATAACACATATAATAAAATCTTGACTAACAAGGTGTACGTGACTGAATATAACTATCTGTGTGTCGCTAAGCAAGTAATTACCTGACTTCAAGGGCTTTGATAGCTTCTAGCATTTGTAGAAACTCTGCTGCTTTCCATACATCATTGGCTTCTTCTTCTCCTTGTATCATTAATTTTGCTGTATATGTGAACTCAATTAAATGACGGAAGGCCATTTTACTAACACCTGTAAAAAAAAAAAAAGATGTGCATTAGCATATATGCATGTTGATTCAAATCTTCTAACATTAGTAAAGAAAAAAAAGCTCAGTGTTTGAAACCTGATTAGTATCTGAATTTTGGAAAATTATTTCCTGGTGGAATTCTCATTAACGGTACAGTAGGACTGTACCAAGTTCCAGCAGTAACTACCAAACTATTTTAAGATCTTTCCCAAAAATTTCTAAGGCCCTTATGACAGTAAAACCTACCACTCAAATATACGAATGGGTTATTACAGGTCAGACATGCTACTTTCCTGCCAGGGATCTCTGCATCAACTCAGCTCCAAATCTTCAAGGGCTTTCCACAGCTCAGCAAATAAAGTTCCATACCACTCTGCCTTTATTTCAAGGTACTTCACGTTATTTTTCTATTTACCACTATTTTTCCCTTCCAAATTTTGAACTCTATTAATCCCATACTATATACTGATCTTCAAACCCTTCACTTCTAAAGCTTCCTTGCCTTTATTAATATTTACCCTCCTTCCTGAATGCTTAATCACTTTATCTCTGTACAAATCCCAGCACCCTTGAAGGCCCAATTCTAATGCCACATACTTAATGAAATTTTCTTTAATGCTCCTCCCCACCCCACCGGCTGAACTCTGTACTTGTTCTGACAATTACAACTCATGGGCATCTCTTGACTCTAAGCTACTTGAGGGAAATGATTGTTTCTGTACACTCACCTCACAGTATCTAACACAATGCTCCCTAAGATGCAGACACACAAAATAGGAATGAATAAGAGCTAAAGTCACTCTCAAAATTAAGCTTCCACAATTCCAACTTTTCTTTACAAGTTTTATGTTTAAATTTTGGCCCAAAAGATACTCTATTTCTTTGTGCTCTTCAATGCTATATATTATTATTTCAATCTGCTAATGCAAGGCTACAAAAATCTACTGAAACAAAGAAAAACTACTTTATTTATTTTTAAAAGATTTTTAAGTACTCTCTACCCCCAACTTGGGGTTTGAACCTACAATCCCAATTATCAAAAGTCACATGCTGCACCGACTGAGGCAGACAAGTACCCCAGAAGAAAACTATTTTTAACATAGAATTTTTACACTAAGAAATGCCCATGTCCAAACTGCACACAATATACACAACTGCAAATACAAAAATGCTTTTATGTTCTTCCTAGGCACTTTATACACCTGCATAAGCAAACTAAAAATAACTGGATTCTTTGAAGGTTACTTTGAGTCTCCTAAATCTTTATTCTCCTGGTTATCTTTTGACCATGTTATTCTTTATTATATGAGAGTAACTAAAAAATTTTTTTAAGGAGTTTTAATCAAATATTTAAAAGTGCAACAAAAGTCCTTTCTAAAAACATGTAAATTTTTCTTGAATAAGATTTTGATTTTTAATCAAACACACACCTGTAATACTGCAAATATCAAGCACAACTCCAAACACCTCACAAGTATTAACATAACAATCCTACGGAGAACTTTATTGTAATCTCCATTTTACAGATAGGAAAACTGAGGCACAGAAAAATCAATAACTGTGACTTTGGCAAGTTACTTAAGTGATGAAAACTAGAATCAACCCTAGATGGCCCAACTCATAAGTCCAAAATAAAGATTTTTATGTAAGATGACGGCAGGAAACATTCCAGCTTGGAAGAGTTTGAATACCTATGACTTCATTCACTGCAGGCCCACAATCTCTTACTCATAATCCCAAAGTCCCCCAAATCTCTTAAGACCAGGAGTTTTCCCATAAATTTGGCAGCAAAATTTGGTTTGAACTGACATGGGACTATTTATCCCATTTAGAGCAAATATTAATATGCTACTCTTCCAAAATATTATTTTGGTTACAGGATGTCACCCTAAGACCCCTTTGGGAGTAATGTCACAGACTGCATTATCTTAGAAAATTTGTAATTTCAAGAAACATCTGGTCTCCAAGGATTTAAATAAGGAACTGTAGACTTAGTTCCCAATTTTGGTTAATTAGAATCATTGTAAACTTAATAAAAGCATGGGTCTCTGATCTCCAGAATCAAAACTGGGATAGGGAACCTTTTTTTTATAAGCATCTTAGGTGCTTCTTAAGTCACCAGTCCAGCACTAGTCCTAGGAATAAATCACTGACCTAATTAACTAACACGAACCAAACTGATACCACCTAACCAGGTAAGCGATGTGGTGACAGATGATGCACAGTTGCAAAAACATTATTCTCCATGAGGACTAGTCTGGTAACTTTCAAATCTCAGCCCACTTTCTAATTAATCCCTTGCTCCTTTCATAACAGAAGTGTGCAGGAGAACACAATTTTTCTGAGTATCTAAAGAAACCGTTAATATGAACACCTTAACCTGCATCTTCTTTTTTTCACTTAGGAAGAAGCAAAAGAGGACAGCATTCTAGATATATAGAGTGAGGTCATTATTCATATTTTACAGATGGGGGTTCCAATTCTGGCTAAGACGAAGAAAGCACACTCTACCACTCCATACTCCATCTTGTCCACCGCTTACAATCATAAATCCTGGGAAGAATACATAAAGCAAATATATAAGGATTCTGAAAGATAAACAGAAGCAAGCAGGCTGGGGAGAGAAATCAAAACTCAAAGAACAGCAGTGAGTTTCCTGTGTTTTTATTTTTCCTCAAATATATCCCAGCTTAGACTTGAAAACAGCCCAAATCCCATTTCTCGATAGGAGGAACAGACAAAAAAGCCTAAGAAACTCTTTCTGGCTAGAACCAGGAAAGGGAATGGAGAGTATGAGTGGGGCGGGAAATCCTTGGTTATTACTCCTCTCAGCCCTGCCTCAAAGCAAGTTCCAGTTCTGATGCTGCACACCTGTGCTGGTGGCCACCAAGGAGGCACTCAATTCTGAGAGAAAGTTTTTCTTTCTGACAGAGAACTAGGAAATAGACGATGATCTGAAGAGCATGGAGAGAAATCTTATTTTTTTTCTCTCATCGCTTTGTCTAGGAAACAGATCCCACTGTGGGAAGCATATGACAGCACAGGGACGCTAAAACCCCAGTTTTCTAGCCAGACGATCAGGGAAAGTTGCTCCTAGGAGCTAAAGTGCAGAAGAAGTCAGAAGAGGGAACTAGAAGAAGGTCCTCTGTGAATGAAGTCTTGCTCTAGCCACCACTTACACATGTGAAGAACTGAGCTGAGGCAGCACAGCAAAGGGTTTGAGTACCGCACTATGATGCGGTCTACCACCCAGCTCGGCACACCTGGGACCTGAACACCACCACAAAAGTTTTGAAAACTAAATTGGAATTGCATCCACAATCCACATAAGGCAGTCTGAACCTAAAGCAGGTTGACTGCCTGCTAGAAACAAAACAAACCAAAATCAACAAAACAAAGGACTTTAACACAGACTGTCATTATGTTCAAAATGCTCATGACACAATACAAAATTACTTGATGTATCTTACAGATTTAAAAGAAAAAAAAAAGGAAGCCAACATGTTCAAGCTTATACAGCTGACAACAGTAAAGAAAACTGAGGTTTTCGAATTACATGCCCAGGGCTTTCTCAATAGCCAGGTGACCTAGACAGGTTGTACAGTGATCCCGAAGTTCATGGCTTAAGAAAACACTGAACCACATTGATTTTTTAAACCTGAATCTGGCAAATAACAAAAACAGAAATGTTCTTACATTCTGTTTTCTCATTTGTCTATATTAAATACTAAAGGTTTGTATGTGCTATACTATAATGGAGACAGTAGGTCAGAGGTATTAAAAGGCACAACAATCAATCTCAAGGTGGTCTTCAGAAGACCCTACTTCTCCAGGTACACTCCTTGCTCCAAAAGCAAAGCATATTCTAGCCTGTGCCACTTACTGACTGTTTAAGATTCTGCTTAAAAAGCAGAAGTCAACTCCTCTTTGAAATCTTCCCTCTCTAAGGTGGACTAAACTACTCATTCTCTCCCCTCAGCTATACCATTCCACAATAAAAGTCTCTGTAACACTTTTTGCACTCCTTTCTATATCTGTTGCTAATCTGTGATTAAATTTGCAAATTCTTTAAGGGCTGTCTTATTCACCAATTCTTCATTTCCTGGGTCTAGTATAGTGCACAACATGTAACAGGTATTCAAAATTTGACAAATAGCCCCAATTTATTAAGCTTTGACAATGTACCAAACACTATGCTCAGCATTCTGCATATGTTATTTCAATTAATCATTACAAGCTTATAAAGTAATGAGGACTCTTCAGATGAGGAGGCAAATATGCAACTGAAGTAAAGTTACCTGCCTGGTGTCACACAGTACCTCAGGTAAATGAATGGATGAAATCTTGCCCTGTAATAGAAACCAATACCGTATAGACAGCTAGATTCTCACTTTAGTAAGCTTTGTGGATTTCCATTATACCTGTGGCTCTGTCCATCACAGATAATGAAAAGATTATCTATGGATGTATCAGCCAGAATGCTAGATAAACTAGAATGTACCCCCTCCCCCAAAAGGAACATGCTTAACTTTTTCATTTTCTTTACTCCCCAGGGCACCAAATTTCCCCAAGGGAATAGCGTTTCTAGGCAACTCATTCATAACAAAGAATATATACACCATGAAAAAGATACAAAACCAAAACTCAAGAACACTGAAAGAACTAAAATTCTGTATTTACTTAGGCAAGCTTATTTATTTCCTATAGTTTTGGATGACAGGGAGGTGTAGGTAATGTAGCAGTGTAAGACAAAAGCATAGTAATTAATAGTACAAAGTGAATCCCTTGCTAGCTGGACAACACTGAGCATGTAACCATTTGCAGCCTGTTCCCTGATGTGTAAATTGGAAATAATACCACTTATTTCAAACGATTGCTGTAAATCCCAGAAAAGGCACACAAACTGCATAGCACTATAGCTGGCACTTGGGAAGCTATTATTATAAAAGTCAAGCAAGTACAAAAATCACTTTCTACTTTAAGGCAGTATCTATTGAATGATTCCTTCCATCCCAGACTCTATCCGCTAGAACTTCTGAATGCTACTTCAGTTCATCTTTCCTAGCCTTTTCCGTATTGTGGCAGCCCACTTCATTTTGTGCATGTCATATGTACCTCTGCTAGTAAAGAACCTTCTACTGTAACCTGCAGCTTCTACTGTAACCCACCAGTCTGAAACTTTAGCCCACTGAACAAAGATGGGAATTCACTTTTAATACATGTTTTCAAAATACAGTGACCACTGGTTTTAGAAGTAGAAGAGACTCCTTTAAGAGACCAACAGCTACCATCTAATGTAAGAGTTTTTCCTGACAGATCATTTTACGAAGCACTTTACTGAAAGTAAGAATTCTCAAGTGTCAAAAGAACAATTTATCCAGTCACCTAATAGGAACCACTGATGCCTATTTCCCATGGTATCTTGCTAAATTAACTAACACTTCTTCATCAATTAAAATGTTCGCTAAGTATTGTATTTAAAACAAGCATTTACCTTCTATCTCCACCAAAGGTTCCTGAGTAAACTCCTGAAAGAATTTGTAGAAGAACTTACTGCAAGCAGCCAAAACAGCCTTGTGGGCCTTAAAATGGTGTCCTAGATTAAAAAGAAAAAAAAAAAGAGTATCACATATATTCAAAAATCAAAAGTAAAACCAAAAAACAAAGTAGGAAATTATATAAAGTAGACCTTTCTCCATAATATAATCATAAGACTATATAAATTACTGAACTAAAGTTCGAATGTTCTTAGCGGCTATCTTGACAAATTTCAATCTTAATTAGACACAAAGCCAGATCTTTACCTCAAAGACCTTATTAAGTCAGTTTTATAAAAGCCAGTTTACAAAACTAAAAGAGGTACAGGGCTTCTTACCACTTAAAGAGTCAAAGGTATATCCTATTCATTTAAAACTGCTAAATATAAACACAACCCAAAATGTTACATACATCATTTGGAAAGAGAGAAGAAAATGCCATAGAATAAGCATAAAGCTGGATGTATTTGCTATGGAAAACATGTTAACATGCCTAATATTTGGAAGCAGCAGACCTACAATGCAGCAGATCTATAATAAAGAATAGCCTGCCTTGAGATGCCTATTTTCACTAAATAGAAAAGTTACCCAAGCTGCGTTTGCCTCCATTATAATGACAACTCCTAATACTGGTAAAGACCCCATTTGATTTGGCTTCCCAAAGAGGGTACCAGTGCTGCAAAGGAATCTCACATTCTCCCTCCAAGACCATCCGGGAAACTAGAAAGAATCAACACTTCCCAAATGATTGCTGTGAAAGGCTCCTCAAAGCAGCTTATGAATAGAAGGCTATTATCCAAACATTTAGAGATATCCTCCCTATCTCCAAAACCATCATCTTGCACTCCAGTGTGCAATGGGAAAACTTAAAAAGGCTGCAAAAAAGTTAAGATGCGATGATTATGTTGAAAGCGTGACTAGCCAACTAGCCTTCTACAACATGGTCTACGTGAGTGGACACTGACAAGTCCCCCACCCAGGTCCCAGCGCACACTCAAAAGGCACAGGCCATAGAGGGTGGGTATAAAAGGCGGGTGGGGGAAGGGGAGATAAGAACGGAAGCCACAAATTCGCTGCTCTACCCACCACCCTACCCACCGTCGACAATCAGGGTGATGTCAGTAAACCGATCCTGCTCCCGCTGTTCATTCAATCGGTCCAGGATCATTTTATGATGTTCCGGGAACTCCTGAAGGCATTCCATCGTCTCTTCGGCCTCCATGGCCGTCGGGTTGCTCTACAAAAGAGGAGCATGATAATGTACACCCATGAGCTCGGGCTGAGGCACAAAACCCCTAAAGCTTAAAACAACAAAAAACAAAACCCCAGCTACGTGAAAAGAAGGGGGGAGGGTGAGGCAAGAGGAGAGGAAGGCGAGGGAAGAAAGAAAGGCGAGCCGGGTGGCCGCCGCGCGTTGGGGGCCGGAGCCGCGGCCGCGGGACTCCGAGCCTGACCTAATTGGAGTCGGGAGACGCGAGCTGAAGCGGGGTGGGCAGAGCGCCGGTGGCTCCGGGCGCCGGGGCGCGCAAGTCCGGCAGAGGAAGGGACCCGACAGCCGTGGCGGCCCTCTAACGGCCCGCCAAGCCCTTCTGCCAGGCCCTGGCTCCCGCCGCCCCGGGACCCGGTCCGGCCCGCGGCCCACAACGACTCCCGGGTCGCCTCTCCCTCCCCCGCCCTCCCTCTTCTCCCCCGCCCCGACCGGGCCGGCACTCACTCAGGGAAGGAGGAGCGGCCCGAGCCTGCGCGTCACTTACGTCGACGTGCCGCGTCACCGCGCTGGGCTCCGGCTGACGCCGACCAAGCGTCGACCACTGAGAAAACGGGCCACAACCCCACCCGCCCCCACTAGTGGCGGGCGGAGTCTACCGAGGGGTTTGCCTTGGGCGACGGTGAGGCCGCGGCCGCTACCGCGAGGAAGAGAAAGTCCGGCAAAGGGGGAGCTGGGCCAGCTCTGAGCCAGGCCGTACCCGGGGCGGGGATCCTAAATCACCGCCTCTCCACCCACCCCCTACCGCGGGGCTCCAGGTGTGTGTGCTTCCGACCCGGACCTCGGAATAAGCGCGCAACGCGATCCGGGTGCGCTTTTATTCGGCGACTCCTCCAGCCCCGCCCCCTTTCCTCCCAAGCTTTAGGTCGGCCAGCCTTACCTAGCTCATGATCCTCCCTGTCTCCTCTCCGGCCCTCAGAGCCTCTCCTTCCTCGCTCTCCGCTCTTGGGGCGAAACTCAACCCACACTGTTTCCTACCCCTAAACAGCGCCTCGCCCTCCATTTCCTCGCGAGTGCCCGGACACTGCCTCCACTGGGTCTGGCCGGCGCACGTGCGCTCGCTCCGAGACCCGGGCGGCCGCGCCGCGGGCGGCGGCCACGGGCGCGAGCACGTTCCGGCCGCCTGGGACCTTCCTCCGGGTGCCCGCCCTCTCCACGCTCGGCAGGCAGCACGTGTTTGCTGGGCTCAGAACCTGGATCTACTCCGATTATTTACACATGATGCTATTACTACAGCTCTCCACTCCCAAGCCCCGCGCTTAAAGAGGCCAGTGACTTACAATCAGCCTCACTTGGCTGGGTCATTCACTCATTCATCTGGGAAAAAAAATGCTTTCGGAGGATAACAGGTTGAGATTTCCTTTTTTTCTCAGAAGAAAACAGAGTGGGGAATTAGGGGAAGACTCAAATAGCTGGCTATATGCAGGAGTGAGTGTAATCATTATTTCAACAGACACTTATTTAGAGCCAACGCTGTGTTAGGCACTGTTTAAGGGTGAACAAGGGGTATGTGGTTTCTGCCTTCCTAATCTTAGTCTAATAGAGTAGATAGATAGTAGATAGATACTTTGTACAGTTAATTGCCTGGGTGCAGAGTTCTGAGTGTTAGGAGATGTGAAGAACAAGGTAATCTGGGGTGGGGGTGGGAGAGTCAAGGAAAGCTAGTGACCTGTAAGAAGCAATATGAAGTCTGAGTGTTCTTAACCAAGTGTACAGCACATTCAGAGGCAACAAGATTATAGCATTTTGAGAACTAAAAGAATGCTCGTGAGACAGCCCCACAGGGGCCTTGTAAAGATGATAGATTTTCTTTTAATCGCAAACGGAAACCTTGAAGGTTGAGCAGGATAGTGACATTTTGAGATTTACTTTTTTAAAGAGAGAATTCTAGCCCCAGTATGGACGATAGACTCAATGGGAGAAGATGCAAGGAGTAGAGACCAGTGGGAGGCTATTAGTAATGTAGATGAAATCATGGTGGCAAATGGGATTAGAGAATTGGATGGAATCCAGAAATAGGATCAACATGGGCTGGAAAGCATGTCATGGGTACTAAATACATGTTGGATGTATTCATGGTGAGAGAAAAGAACACTCAAGAATGGCTCCTAGATTTCTGGCTTGAATGGATTGTTGGAACAATTTTACCAAAATGGAGAATATAAGTGGAGGAAATGGGGAGGGAAGAGATCATTTTAAGGAGACAACTAAATGCAGATGATGTCAACAAGTCGTTTTATATATGGACCTGTATAGCATTTAGGGGAGAGAGCTAGTATTAGGGATTTGGAAAGTTTTAGCATAAAGTGGGTATCGAAGCCTTGGAAACAGATTTTTTTTTCATCCATCCTAATGCAAAATTAATTGATTAATTAATTTAGATTTTAATCCCAATATAGTTAACATACAGTGTTATATTAGTTTCAGGTGTACCATATAGTGATTCAGTAATTCCATACATCAGCCAGTGCTCATGATGAAAAGTACACTCCTTAATCCCCATCATCTATTTCACCCATCCCCCCACCCACCTTCCCTCTGGTAACCATCAGTTTGTTTTCTATAGTTAGAGTTAAGAATCTTTTTCTTGGTTTGTCTCTTTTTTCCTTTGCTTATTAAATTCCACATATGAATGAAATTATATGGTATTTGTCTTTCTCTGACAGACTTATTTCACTTAGCGTTATACTCTCAAGCTCTATCCATGTCCTTGCAAATGACAAGATTTCATTTTTTTAAATGGCTGAATAATAGGCCATTGTATATACATATACCACTTCTTTATCCATTTATCTATTGATGGACACTTGGGTTACTTCCATAATTTGGCTATTGTAAATAATGCTGCTATAAACATAGGGGTGCATGTATCCCTTTGAATTAGTGTTTTTGTATTCTTTGGGTAAATACCCAATGGTGTGATTCCTGAATTGTAGCATAGTTCTATTTTTAACTTTTTGAGGAACCTCTGTAGTGTTTTTCAGAGTGCCTGCACCAGTTTGCATTTCTACCAACAGTGCAAGAGGGTTCCTTTTTCTCCACACCCTCACCAACACCTGTTTCTTGTGTTTTTTATTTTAGCCATTCTGACAGATGTTAGGTGATATCTCTATGTGGTTTTAATTAGCACTTCCCTGATAATGGCTGATATTGAACATCTTTTCATGTGTCTGTTGGCCATCTATGTAGAAATGTCTGGAGAACTGTCCATGTCTTCTGCCCATTTTTCAATTGGATTATTTGGATTTTTTGGTGTTGAGTTGTATGAAGTTCTTTCTATGGATACTAACTCTATTGAGTATGTTATTTACAAATATCTTCTCTATTCAGTAAATTTCCTTTTAGTTTTGTTGTTTCCTTCACTGTGCAGAAGCTTTTTATTTTGATGTAGTCCCAATAGCTTATTTTTGCTTTTTCTTCCCTTGCCGCAGGAGACATATCTAGATAAATGTTGCTATAGCCACTCTGTGTCTCTAAAGCTAAGGTGAGTCTCTGGTACTGCCTATGCTCTCTTCTAGGATTTTTATGGTTTCAGGTCTCACAGGTCTTTCATCCATTTTGAGTCTATTTTTGTGTAAGGTGTGAAAAAGTAGTCCAGTTTTATTCTTTTACATGTTTCTGACCAGTTTTCCCAACACCAATTGTGGAAAAGACTGTCTTTTTCCCATTGGATATTCTTCCCTGCTTTGTCGAGATTAACTGACCATATAATTGGGTTTTCTATTTTGTTCTATTGAACTGTATGTCTATTTTTGTGCCAGTACCATACTGTTTTGATTATTACAGCTTTGTAATATAACTTGAAGTCCGGAATCGTGATGCCTCCAACTTCCCTTTTCAAAATTCCTTGGCTATCGGGTCTTTTGTGGTTCCACATAAATTTGAGGATTGTTTGTTCTAGTTCTGTGAGAAATGCTGTTGGTATTTTGACAGGGATTGCATTAAATCTGTAGATTGTTTTGGGTAGTATAGGCATTTAAACAATATTTGTTCTCCCAATTAATACTTGAGCACGGTATGTTTTTCCATTTATTTGTGTTGTCTTCAATTTCTTTCATCAGTGTTTTATAGTTTTCAGGATACAGGTTGTTTACCTCTTTAATAGGTTTATTCCAAGGTATCTTATTATTTTTGGTACAATTGTAAATGGGATTGTTTTCTTAATCTCTCTGCTGCTTCATTATTAGTGTATAGAAATGCAACAGATTTCTGCCCATTGATTTTGTATCCTGCAACTTTACTGAATTCATTTATCAGTTCTAGTATTTTTTTGGTGGAGTCTTTTGGTTTTTCTATATAGAGTATCATGTCATCTGCAAATAGTGATGGTTTTACTTCTTCCTTACTGATTTGGATTCCTTTTATTTCTTTTTGTTGTCTGATTGCTCTGGCTAGGACTTCCAGTACTATGTTGAATAAAAGTGGTGAAAGTGGACATCCTTATCTTGTCCCTGAACTTAGGGGAAAAGCTCTCAGTTTTTCCCCCTTTGAGTATGATATTTGCTGTGGGTTTTTCATAGATGGCCTTTATTATGTTGAGGTATGTTCTCCCTCTAAACCTACTTTGTTGAAGGCATTTATCATGAATGGGTATTGTTTTTTGCTGAATGCTTCTTCTGTATCAAAATGATCATATGGTTTTTATCCTTTTTCTATTGATGTGATGTATTATGTTGATTAGTTTGCAAATATTAAACCACGCTTGCAACCTGGAAATAAATCCCACTTGATCATGGTAAATGATGTTTTAAAATGTATTGTTGGATTCAGTTTGCTAGTATTTTGGTGAGGATTTTTACATCTATGTTCATCAGAGAAATTAGCCTGTAGTTTTCTTGGTGTATCTTTATCTGGTTTTGGTTATCAGGATGATACTGGCCTCATAAAATGAATTTGGAAGTTTTCATTCTGTTTTTTGGAACAGTTTGAGAATAGGTATTAACTCTTTTTTAAATGTTTGGTGGAATTCGCCTGTGAAGCCATCTGGTCCTGGACTTTTGTTTGTTGGGAGTGTTTTGATTACTAATCCAATCTTCCTTGCTAGTTATCAGTATGTTCAAATTTTCTATTTCTTCCTGCCTCAGTTTTGGTAGTTTATAAGTTTCTAGGAATTGATCCATTTCTTCTAGGTTGTCCAGTTTGTTGGCATATAGGTTTTCATAATATTCTCTTACACTTGTTTGTATTTCTGTGGTGTTGGTTGTTATTTCTCCTCTTTTATTTGTGATTTTGTTTATTTGAGCCCTCCCCCCCTCCCCCCCCTTTCAATGAGTCTGGCTAGAAGTTTATCAGTTTTGCTGATCTTTTCAAAGAACGAGCTCCTGGTTTCTTTGATCTGGTCTATTGTTTTTTTTAGTTTCTATATCATTTATTTCTGCTCTAATCTTTATTATTTCCTTCCTTCTGCTGGTTTTGGGTTTTGTTTGTTGTTCTTTTCCTAGCTCCTTTAGGTGTAAGGTTAGGTTGTTTATTTGAGATTTTTCTTGCTTCTTGAAGTAGGCCTGTATGCTATATACTTCCCTCTTAGAACCGCTTTCACTGCATCCCAGAGGTTTGGGACCATTGTGTTTTCATTTTCATTTGTTTCCATGTACTTTTTTATTTCTGGTTGACCCATTCATTGTTCAGTAGCATGTTATTTAACCTCCATGTATATTTGTGATCTTTCCAGATTTTTTCTTGTGGTTGATCCTTAGTTTCATAGTGTTGTGGTCAGAAAAAAATGCATGGTATGACTTTGATCTTTTTCAATCTGTTGAGACTTGTTTTGTGGCCTAATACGTGATCTTTTCTGGAGAATGTTCCATGTGCGCTTGAACAGAATGTGTATTTTGCTGTTTTAGAATCAAATGCTCCGAATATCTTTTAAATCCATCTGGTCCAGTGCATCATTCAAAGCCACTGTTTCCTTGTTGGTTTTCTGTTTGGATGATCTGTCCATTGATGAAATTGGGGTGTTAAAATCCCCTACTATTATTGTGTTACTATCAATTAGTTCTTTTATGTTTGTTATTAACTGTTTTATGTTGGGTGCTCCCATTTTGGGTGAATAAATATTTACAATTGTTATATTTTCTTGTTGGATTG